AGGGCCTGGGCACTGTCCCTGCGCTTCTTTTGGCTCAAGGCTAGCACTCTACCACTTTGGCCATAGTACCACTTCTAGCCTTTTCTCAGTAGTTTATTGGAGATAAGAGTCTTAGAGACTTTTCCTGCCTGGGCTGGCTTTAAACGACAATCCTCCGATCTCAGCCTCCTGTGTAGCTACGATTACAGGGGTGAGCCACCAGCATCTGGCTTGTATTTATTTTTAAGCCAATGTCTCGTTGTATAATCTATGCTGGCCTCACAGGCTGTCTTCTCCCTTCAACTCCCAAAGGGTGGAATTACATACACGAGCCGTCATGCTCAATTTTTAATTGTACATTTTTTAATGTGTGCCAGTCATGGGGCTTTCTTTGCTTAAAGCTAGTACTCTACCACTGCTCCGCTTCTGGCTTTTTTAGTAGTTAGTTGAAGATAAGAGCCTCACAGGCTCTCGTGGCTAGGCTGGCTTCAATTGTGATTTTCAGGTCTCAGCCTTTTGAGTAGTTAGGATTATAGGCATGCGCTACTGACATTAGGGCTAATTGCACATTTTTTTTTTTTTTGCCAGTCCTGGGGGGGCTTGAACTCAGAGCTTGGTCTCTGTCCCTGAGCCTCTCCGTGCTCAAGGCTAGTGCTCTACCACTTGAGCCACAGCACCACTTCTGGCTTTTTCTTTTATGTGGTACTGAGGAATCGAACCCAGGGCTTCATGCATGCTAGGCAGGCACTCTACCACTGAGCCACCTTCCCAGCCCTTAATTGTATATATATATATATATATATATATATACACACATATATATATATATTTTTTTTTTTTTTGTCGGTTGTGGGGCTTGAACTCTGGGCCTGGGTGCTGTCCCTCAGCTCTTCAGTTCAAGGCGAGCACTCTACCACTTGAGTTACAGCACCACTTCCGGTTTTCTGGTGGTTTATTGGAGATAGGAGTCTCACGGTCTCTCCTGCCCCAGCTGGCTTTGAACTGCGATCCTCAGATCTCAGCCTGCTGAGTAGCTAGGATTACAGGCATGAGCCACCAGCGCCCGGCTTAATTGTATATTTTTAATGAAATATGCTCTAAGGAAAAAATAATTAACTGCAAAGAATGATAAACTGCTTTCAAAGGTTATCTCATTAGTCATAATATATTTTGTATCCTGAAACTATTATCCATAAGTAAAACAAAAATGAACACTTCTGTTAATGTTATCAAAATATTAAGGGTAATAAAAAAGCTACAACTAGAAAGCCAAAAAAATATGGAGTAAAATCCCTGAAATCTTACATTTAATTGGAAAAAAAAGTAAACAATGTCCAATCTAGTAAAAATCAGTAAGTATTCTAACCATCCAGCTAGAATCTTTCACCATAATCTAAATGTAGATTGGGTACTCGTAGCTCATGCTTGTAATCCATGTACCCAGCTGAGATCTGAGGATCATGGTTGGAAGCCTATCCAGGCAGGAAAGTTCATGGGACTCTTATCTCCAATTATCCACACAAAAAAAGCTAGAAGTAGAGCTGCAACTCAAGTGGTAGAGGATACCCATAAGCACAAAAGGTCTTGACAGTGCCCAGACCCTGAGTTCAAGCCCCAGGACTGGTACAAATACAACAGCAGCAACAGCAAACAAGAACAACAACAAAAACAACACATTCACTGTGATCTCTGGATAATAGGTCAGAGCAGGTTCACATTCTGATTATCTCTCTTACATTTTTTCTTCATTTTTCTAAACTTTGGTTTTCTCATCTCTAGCCTTCATAGAGCGTATCAGGCTATTAATGACAGAGTAAAATAGAATGTAAAACATGTTATTAATGAATTGCATCATTGCTGGCTAGGATTGTATCGATGCAAGGGCAACAGAAAGCAGCTGGGAGTCAGAATCAGTTATAGACTAAGTGTAAGTCAGCTTGTAATACTCTTGCAGCTTAAAAGGGATACACAATATGCTGCTATCATTAAATTCAGTACTTGTCAGATTCTCAATAGATATCTTTGCCACCAAGCTCCAAAACTATGAATTTCCAGAGGAAAATGATGAAGCAAAATTTTTTTTTTTTTTGGCTAGAACTCTGCCTGAACTCTGGGCCTGGGCGCTGTCCCTCAGCTCTTCAACGCAAGGTGAGTACTCTACCACTTGGGTTACAGTGCCACTTCCAGCTTTTTTTGCTTATGTGGTGTTGAGGAATTAAACCCAGGGCCTCATGCGTACAAGGCAAGCACTCTACCACTCAGCCACCTTCCCAGCCCCAGACAAAGCAAATTTAACACCTGGTAAATAGTAGCTTTAATAGCGAATGCAGATTAAACTGGTTGGGTTATTTTTGTTGTTGTTGTTTGTTTGTTTAGAGAAGCCTAAAAGGAGACCTCTGATAAACTGCTAAGTCATAGTGCATTTACACTTGTTGTTTGTTTGGTTGAAATTTGTTGTAGAATTAGAAGGCCAAATGATATGATCCCATAAGGTGAGAATCTAATCAGGTTATAGATACCAGCTAAAGACAATAGGAAAGGAAATGTAGTTTTGGATCTCAAAGAAAGGACATAGATTAAGTGAATAGAAGAAATATTTTGGACAATGAGGTTTGTTAAACTTTAACTCATGTTAACCTAGGATTTGACAAAATTTTCTACTCTGGGAGCACTTTATAAAGAGGTAGATTAGATTTCTCTCTGTGAGAGGTGGCTTAAAGATATATCTTTAGACAGAAGTGCTTATGGATCTTTTGCAGGTTTGGAATCTATAAAGGCCTTTGGCTTACCTACCTGTAATCAGTCACAGCCTCAATAGGTAATCATTCTACCTGTGTTTTTTGATCTTTCTGTATAAACTTATAATTTAAATGCCACATTGTCTAATAAGTAATTCAGTTTCTCTTGTCTTTTAAAAAATTCTTGATGTATTTATTAATGGGAATTGCTTAGACTCATTTAATTATTTCAGTCATATTTATTGAAGTTTAATTTACCCTTTTTAGTTTTATGAGTTTTAACAAACACAATTGTTTGGCAAAGAATCAGAAAAATCAGGAAGACTTGCTTACATTTCAATGGATGGTTGGGGTAATGCAGTTGGAGAATAATAAAAAGATAGTGACTTTTAAAACATTCTTATTTTATTTCATGGGAACCAAAGTCACATTTGACTATGGCAAAATCTGGTACTTTCTCAATTGAGCAGTTGAACCCACTTTGTGTCCCTTACATAGTTAATAATGACCTGACCTGGTCCTTTTAGGATTACATTTATTTGGTCAGTGATATTCTGTAGTCTCAGGAGTGAAAAAAGGCATTCATTATAAATGATTCTAGGATTAAACCGGTGAGATGTGTCTCTGGATGATTTCTCTCTCTCTCTCTGTCTCTCTTGCTCACTCTGTCTGTCCTGGAATTTGAACTCAGGGCCTCACACATACCTGTACCACTTGAGACACACACCCAGTCCTTCCTTTCATATTTACCCCACCAATTAAACATTCCAATTATTTTCTAGTCACAGCATTAATAGAGTCTAGAATTTTCAAGACATTTTCATTTTAGAGTTAGTCCTTTTGTTGCCACAAGTAATATATACTCAAAGTCAACATGCTTTGATTTTTGGTTTGGAAAGTATAATCACTGTAATTTATTGTATCAGGGAGAAGATTGGTTGGTAGGAAGTTCCACTTAGCTATTTCAAATGTTGAAATAGAGATTTATGATTAACCTGTGCCCAAATAATTCTGAGCCTGAGACGGGAGAAAACAACAACAACCAAAACCAGCCTGGGATTGAATGCTTGCAAAGTATATTCTTGGGCATTTTGCTAAGTGCTTTCCCTACTGACAGCTGCTCAGGCTAGAATTCTATCCCAGATCCTGCCGCCATTTAAATTAAAATGGCAACAACAACAATAACAACGAAACACTTATGCCTCCTGGGGCCTCGTTCATTAATAGCTGCCACAGCTGCCACACCCTCTATAAGAGAGCCTAGCACTATAATTGGGATAATTGAATCTGGGGACTTGGATCTTGGAGGTCATCAAGCTTTGAAAGGACGACAGCTGTTCTCTTTACCAGTCGATTGAAAATCACAGTGCTCAAAGAGATGGGCAGAAACATGTCTTGGGGGTACGTAGGCCACAGTCATTGTGTGTATATATATATATATATTTATATATATAAGTGTGTGTGTAATATTATATATATGCATATGTATATACTTATGAGATGCACAAATGTGAAGCTTCAAATACTTTCCTGCAAAGGGTAATGGAAAGAAATATGGCCTTGGGGGGGGTGTCTTCAGACAATGTAAAAATCAGAATCCCCCCCCCCCCATGAGAACAAAGAACAAAACCAGCTATAGACCGACATAAAGGGAGAAGGTAGAGAGAGACCCCCTTGAATTCAGGTAGAGGCCCATCAAAAGGAAACCTGATTGATACCGGGGAAACCCTAAAGAGCCTTTATTCCGTTCCCCCAGCCCTGGAGTTCCAGCTATCTTTTCAATTCTCCCCTCCTTTTACCCTTTTATTAGAAAAACCGGGAAACTCCTTTTTTTCCGTGGAAGTGGGAGGGAAGGGGCCTTCGGGTGCCTGAACCACTCCCAGCAGGTAGATTTATGTCTGCTGCCTGAATAATAGAAAAATAGCCGGGTCCCGGGGCGAGGGAATCTTATTTCATGCCCTTTCAAGGTCCCTTCGGTTCAAGGATACTGTCATTCTCCAGGCTGCACCGGAGGGAGGGTCTGCAGCCTCCATGCTGCCATGGAAACACGCCGCCGTGTTCCTTTTTCCTTACGTGAGGGGCGGGACGAGCGGGGAGGGGGGGGGGAGGCGTGCGCTCCTCCTCAGCCACCTATCATTCGCGGGAATTTTTGAGTGGCTGGCGGAGGTAGCGAATGGGAGATCCGGAAGTGCGTGACGTAACGGGAAAAGGGGTGTGTGGGGAGGGGAAAGCTCGCGGCCCGTGGCGGCGGCGGCGGTAGCGGCGGCGGCAGCGAGAGCGGCGTCCCGGGGAACGAGCTGGAGGGGCTTGGAGAACGGTGCCCAGACCTCTAGCTCGAGGCGCGAGGGGGCCCCCCGGCCCGCGCCGGAATGCCTGGTACTGGCTCGGAGGGAAATAAACGCGCGCTGCAGTCGGCTCCGGAGGCTGGGGGGGGTTTCCGAGTCTTGAAGGGACGACTGACCGGAGGGGGGCGGGGTGGCAAGCATGGCGGCGGCGGCGGCGGGGGGGGGAAGGGGAAGGGGCTGTGGAGGGGGTGGGGGAGCAGCGGCTGGCAGGACTCGGGGTCGTGAGGAAGCGCGCGCGTGCGCGTGCGTGGGGTGTGTGGGTTTTCTGCGAAGCGAGCGGACATTACAAAGCAGCCATGGAGGGGGGGGGCGTGGAGGCGCCCCGAAGGACGTTGGGAGACGGGGGCGGGGGGGGTCGTTGGGAAAAGGGGCGGGGCGGGAAGAGGTTGGGGAGGGGAGGAAAGGCCGTCCGCGGGAAGGTGATGGAAGGGATGACGGGGGGGGGCGGGCGGGGGGGGGGGAGAGAACACGCGGGCTGGGGGGTGTGAGAGGCTCTTCCCAATAATATCTTATATTATTGTGCTAATATCTTAATCAGAGAAGCTCTGGCCCTCCTTGCCCTCCCCCCCCTCGCCAGCTCCTGGATTTAGGCTCCGATTGTGTGAGGAAGGCATCAAATAAGGTTACCCCAGAACTGATCTTTTGTTATTCCATTCCAGGGGAGCAGATGGACCCTACTGGAAGTCAGTTGGATTCAGATTTCTCTCAGCAAGATACTCCTTGCCTGATAATTGAAGATTCGCAGCCCGAAAGCCAGGTTCTAGATGATGAGTCTGCTTCCCACTTCACTATGCTGTCCCGACACCTTCCAAATCTACAAATGCACAAAGAGAACCCTGTGTTGGTGAGTGATACCTTGTCTGAAAATGACTGGGCAGGGTTATGTTTTGTTTTTGTTTTTTAATCAGCAGACCTCACTGTTTAGAAAACAGGCACTAATCTTTTGCTTAAAGTTGGTTGGGAAAATAAAATCAACATGGCTACCCAAACTACGTCTCCTTCTGGACTATTCAGTGTATAGTCTGGGTATTATCTATGTGTGTTTTCTAGGATGTTGGGTCCAATCCAGAGCAAACATCTGCAGAACCACAAGAAGACAGTAATAGTGGGTTCAGGGAACAGTTGAGAGAAAACAAATCTGAAGGTAAGACGTTTAAAGTTCCAGTGTTCTTTGCATTTTTTTTTTTAAGATGGTGTTGGTGGTTTTAAACATTACATGATTGTGGAAATAAATGTAAGATGGTTTTGGGCAGTATCTGGTGCAAAGGAAGCATTTAAGAACTCCTGGAGTTCTAGGGGGGTGTAGTACAGTGGTATTGTCTGTATTCTTGAATTTATATCGATGTTTGGTGGTAAATCTCTTTTGTGCTAATATCTGGTTTTAACTTTTTCAGGTCCTGTGGATTCTTCACATTTAGAAACAAGTGGTTCCCTCAGTCAGGTCATTGACCAGTTACCTCAGCCAAATAGGACAAGCAGGTATTATTAATATTTGAGGTTTTTGTTTTTTAAATTTCTAATGGATGAACTCATCTGTTCCTGTTGCCTCATTCCAGGAATGGGATTTGAGTGCTGATAGGTAGTTATTGTGTTAGGAGTGATAGCTGGTCTCTTTTGTGAAGATAGCTTTTTTTTTTTTTGGAACTTGGGGTCTGGGCACTGTCCCTGAGCTCTTTTGCCCAAAGATAGCACTCTACTACTTTGAGCCACAGCTCCACTTCTGGCTTTTTGGTAGTTAAGTGTTTCGTGTACTTTCCTGCCCAGGCTGACTTTTGGACCATGATTCTCAGATCTCAGCCTCTTCTGATTATTCAGGTTACAGGCACGAGCCACTAGAACCCACTCAGTTCCTCACCATTTTTTAAAAAATTTATTATTATAGAGATGATGAATGACGTACTGAGTACATTTCCTTTCCCAGTGTCATCTGCTCCCTAATTCTCTCCCATCCCCTTCCCTCCCATTTCCACCCATGAGTTGTATAGTTCACTTTCATCAATGTCCATTGTGCTCTACTGCTGTACTTTCTCACCCTTTTTCCTTGAGTTTTGTGCCCTCCTTCCTACCCTCCTGAAGGTGTACACATGAATACACTGTATATAACGTAAAGAATACAGAATCATCAGAAAAGGAGGAAAAAAATTAAAATTTTTTGTTCCTATATCTTAGAAGTTCATTTTAGTATATATAATAATTATTATTTTTGTTGTTGTTGTTGTTGGTCGCGGGGCTTGACCTCTGGGCCTGGGTGCTGTCCCTCAGCTCTTCAGCTCAAGTCTAGTGCCCTACCACTTGAGCTACAGTGCCATTTCCGATTTTCTGAGTGGTTTATTGGAGATAAGAGTCTCACAGACTTTTCCTGCTGGGGCTGGATTTGAATTGCAATTCTCAAATCTCAGCCTCTTGAGTAGCTAGGCTTATAGGCGTGACCCACCAGCGCCCTGACATATATTATTTTATATAATGTGAAGAGGCGCTTAGGCATTACATCTTTGTGATTCTCTTCTGAGGCTATCCTTTTTTGATCTTAATGTATGGCTCCTTACCACATTTATATCTAAAATGTTTAGTTCATATATTAAACTGTATTCAGTTCTTACTCTGTTTTATGTGTATCATCAGTGTCCATTTTTTAGTTAAACCTCTCTGTTATGACCAATATTGGATATTAGATATATAATTTCATTCTACCCCTAAAGCAGCTGTGCAGTGAAGATATTACATTACTTCCATTGTTGTGAAAGGAAAGGCAGTGGGCAAAACAGCTAAATAATTTTCTCTAGAAAACATTAATAGTGAGATCTGGGCTTTCAGTCTGTTCTTTCTAACCCAGATGCTTCGTTTTTCTCATTGTTCAGTAAGAATATTTACTAATCTTCTGCTTTAATTCTTTTTTATTTTTTGCCAGTCCTAAGGCTTGAGTTCAGTGCGTGGACACTGTCCCTGAGCTGCTTTTGCTTAAGGCTATCACTCTACCACTTGAGCCACAGTGCAACTTCCGGACTTTTCTGTTTATGTGTTACTGAGGAATGGAACCCAGGGCTTCATGAATGCTAGGCAAGCATTCTACCACTGAGCCACATTCCCAGCCCCCTTCTGCCTTAATTTTTATCCGGTCAAAGAACAACAGAGACAACTTTACGACCTTGAGGTTCTGGAGTAGAAAGAGGAGATAAGAGAATGTTCCCTTGCTGTGGTTAAAGACTTGGCTTTCTCATTTGTCTTGGTTTTATGTTTGCTGTATTCTATGTTTTGGGTTTGTACATAAATTTGTCTCACATTTAGTAAAAATGAATGACTCAGAATAACCTGTAAACTGGTGGCCTTTTTTTTGGCGGCCTTTTTTTTGGCCAGTAGGTGAGTTTTATTTGGCTGACACCTGGTAAAATATACTGGAGTTAGTGACAGAATTTAAAAATGAGAAAATTACTCATAAAACTTGCATTTCTGGCCTCGGGCTTACCAGTCCTTATAGAGCTCAGTTAGTTTGTACTAGCTAGCTTCCATTCATTAGGATTACGTATGCAAGCTCGGTCCTTTGCTGGAGTCCCTGGGGTCCCTACAAAGCTTATCATTGTAGTTGGACCCAGAAGCTCGGTGTTGTTTTGCTGTTTGTCACAGTGTTTGTGCTTCTGTTCCTGTATATAGCACTGTTACCTTCTGGAACCTTTAGCAACCTCTGCCAGACTTACTTGTGTTTTTATGGTGGGAGATGTGTAACTCCATTATGAATGAAACAATATTGTTTGAGAAAGTTCCATGCCATTTCTTTTCCTCAGTGGTTACTCTTTTTCCCTAAAACTTGACTGAATGTTCAGTCAACAGGCAGGCATGGTATGTACTCCAAAGGGGCTTTGTTATCATGGAGTTTATAATTTGATTGGGGGACAGATGTTAAACCTAGTCATCACTTTAGTAGCTATTGAATTAACAATTGTGATTATGGCAAAGAAGAGAAAAAAATATAAACCCAATCTGGGGCATAGGGAACACCTCTGAGGTGAAGGATAAACAAATAGTAGTTTACTAGGCAAAGTTGAAGGATAAGAAGCAGCAGCACAAACTGTGAGAAGAGATTTTTTTTTTTTGGGTCCAGTCGTGGGGCCTGAACTCTGGGCCTGGGCACTGTCCCTCAGCTCTTCAGCTCAAGGCTAGCGCTCTACCACTTGAGCCACAGCGCCACTTCCGGCTTTTTTCTTTTTGCTGATGTGGTGCAGAGGAATCGAACCCAGGGCCTCATGCATGCAAGGCAAGCGCTCTACCACTGAGCCACCTTCCCAGCCCGAGAAGAGATGTTTTGCAGACGAGTAAACTGTGTGCCAAGCCATGACTCTGGAGAGAATTAGAGGTTGACTTCACAAGAATGCATGTTCTTCAGAGTATTTGTATATAACCTTTATTCCTGCAGATACTTTTTTTTTGCGGGGGGGGCGGGGCGCTCAGTCGTGGGGCCTGAACTCTGGGCCTGGGGGCTGTCCCTCAGCTCTTCAGCTCAATGCTAGTGCTCTACAATTTGAGCCACAGCGCCACTTCGGGCTTTTTTCTTTTTTTGCTTATGTGGTGCTGAGGAATCGAACCCAGGGCTTCATGCATGCAAGGCAAGCGCTCTACCACTGAACCACCTTCCCAGCCCTTTTTTTTTTTTTTCCTTTTCTGTTAGTTGTGGGACTTGAACTCTGGGCTTGGGTGCCAGTGGTTCACACCTGTAATCCTAGCTACTTAGGAGGCTGAGATCTGAAGATCACAATTCAAAACCAGCCTGGGAAGGAAAATCCATGAGACTCTTATCTCCTGTTAGCCCCCAGAAGTCCAGAAGTGGTACTGTGGCTCAAAGTGGTAGAGTGCTAACCTTGAGCTAAAAATTAGCTCAGGGACAGCATCCAGGCCCAGAGTTCAAGTCCCTTGACCCTTCCCTTCTCCCCCACCCCCCACCCCCCGCAAAAAAATATATATAGTTGGGATACTGAGCCATTTTCAACACAATGTCTAATGAATGCTGTTCTCTATGTAGCCTTACCTCCTTTTCTGCATAATTTCTGGCAACCATTAATACACTCCATTTGCAAAATTTTATTTCAGAATATTATATATAAAGTTTTGAGATTGTGTGTGTGTGTGGATGTGTGCATGTGTGCGCATGTGCGCGCATACATGTGTGCTGGAACTGGGGCTTGAATTCAAGTTCTAGCAGTCTTACCAGTCTCACCAACCTCACCAACTCGGGGTTGGTGCTCTGCTACTAGAGCCATATCTCCACTTCTGGCTTTTTTCTGTTTAGTTGGAGATAAGAGTCTCATAGACTGGGCTGGCTTTGAACCTTGATCCTCAGATCTCAGCCTCCTGAGCAGCTAGGATCACAGGTGTGAGCCACCAGCTCCAGACTTGAACCTCTTTATTTTTTTACTTGCTCTCTACTTCAGGAGATTGTTCATGTCTTTTGTTCATTTTCTTTTTTGGTCATGGGGCTTGAACTCTGGGAGCTCAAGGGTAGCACTTTACCATTTGAGCCACAGTGCCACTTCTGGCTTTCTGGTGGTTTATTGGAGATAAGAGTCTCATGGACTTTCCTGCCTGGACTGGCTTTGAATCGAGATCCTCAGATCTCAGCCTCCTGAGTAGCTAGGAATACAGATGTGAGCCAATGGTGACTAGATTTTTTTTTTTTTTTTTGAGCTCTTCAGCTCAAGGTTAGTGCTCTACCATTTGAGCCACACTGCCACCCATCTGGTCTTGAACCTTAATTTTTCTGCTCTCAATCATTTGAATGTCTAGGATCATAGGCATAGCCACCAACACCTGGTTAAGACTTTACAAAACATATTCTAAATACTAGTGCATTGTAGAATATATGGTTTACAAGTTTGAAAATTTTTCTTGTTCTTTTTCTTTTTTGGGGGGGGGGTGGGGAGGTCCGGCGTGGGGCCTGAACTCTGGACCTGGGCGCTGTCCCTCAGCTCTTCAGCTCAAAGCTAGCACTCTACCACTTGAGCCACAGCGCCACTTCTGGCTTTTTTCTTTTTGCTTATGTGGTGCTGAGGAATTGAACAAGCCACTGGCACCTGGCTAGTTTGTTTTTTGAGATAGACTCTGTATACATAACACAAATGTCCTAGAACTTGGTATGTAGCCAAGGTTGGTATCTAATTAGTGGTCTTCCTGTCTTAGCTTCCCAAGTGCTGGGGTTAGAAGCATGTACCATCATGCTCACTTTCGCATGAATTCTTTGCATTTTATATCTTTTTTTTTTTTTTTTTCCGTGTGGTACCTGAACTCTGGGCCTGGGCACTGTCCCTCAGCTCTTCAGCTCAAGGCCTAGTGCTCTACCATGTGAGCCACAGCACCACACCTGGCTTTATGTGGTGCTGAGGAATCAAACCCAGGGCCTCATGCAGCAAGGCAAGCACTCTACCACTGAGCCACCTTCCCAGCCCCTGTAATTTATATCTTTTGTTATATTTGTTGCAAATATTTTTGCTAGTTTTTAGTTTTTATGTTTTTAATGTTATGTATTTTGACTCTAGTGTTAATTTATTTTTAATATATAGCTCTCTTAATTTGAATTTTATTTTTATTATTTATGTTTTCTTGGTTGTGGGGCTTGAACTCAAGGGCTTCTGTGTTGTCCTTGACCTTTTTTGCTCAGGGTTTGCACTTTACCACTTTGAGCCACAGTGCCACTTCCAGTTTTCTGGTGCTTAATTGGAATTAAGAATCTCATGAACTTTCCTGTCTGGGCTGGGTTTGAAGCAAGATACTCAGATCTCAGCCTTTTGAGTAGCTAGGATTACAGGCATGAGCCACTGGTGTCCAGCCTTTAATTTGAATTGTATTTGAACTCTTTGGTCGTATGTGTTCTAAGTTGTTTTTTAATCTTTTAAAGCTAAAATTATAGATGTGAGCATTAGTGTTTTGGTTCTAAGGTTTTTTGTTTTTTTTTGCCGGTTATGGGGCTTGAACTCTGGGCTCGAATGCTGTCCCTCAGCTCTTCAGTTCAAGGCTAGCGCTCTACCACTTGAGCCACAGCGCCACTTCCAGTTTTCTGAGTTGTTTATTGGAGATAAGAGTCTCATGGACTTTCCTGCCGGGGCTGGCTTTGAACCGCAATCCTCAGATTTCGGCCTCCTGAGTAGCTAGGATTACAGGTGGAGCCACCAGCACCAGGCTTTTTTTTTTGTTTTGGAACTAAAATGTTTTTGCTAACTTTATCCATTAAAAAATTTTTTTTTTTTTGGAACTCTTTCCCTGTTTATCCAATGCATGTCTTGTAACAGTTCAGGGATTTTCCTATCTTTGTATGTAAGATAAAATTGATATATATTCTTTTCTGTTTTTTTTTTGTATTGAGTAATTCAGAATAACAACCTTTTTGGTACTTTCTCTGAATAGCAATAAAGGAAATGAGGTTTGTTTACATCTTCAAGTTGGGTGCTTGTGAGGAGTCAGTAAAATTCAGGGTGATTTGAACAGAGTGCTGCCCTACCTAAGAACAGAAAATGATTGTGTCCTTCTGCTGTGTAGTGTTCTGGGAATGGCAGTGGAGTCTGGTCCTGCAGTGGAGGAAGAGAAGGAAGAGTTGGAAGACCTGGAGAAAGAAGCGGAGGAAGAACATCCTCTGGACCAAACCACACGCTCCTTTTGTGCTGAAGGTAGCCCTGTGCCTTTTTCAGGATAGTAGATTCTCTTAATGTTCCCTTACTACGAACATGTAGATGTCTAAATTCCACTTTACCAAGTTGGAGGTTTTTCATGATTAAATTGAGGATAATTAAGACATTTTAATTTTAATTAAGACACTTAATTTGGTATTTGGGAATTTGTAGCTCTGTTGTTGTTGTTGTTATTTGCCAGTCCTGGGCCTTGAACTCAGGGTCTGGATACAGTCCCTGAGCTTCTTTTGCTCAAGGCTAGCACTCTACCGCTTGAGCCATAATGCCACTTTTGGCTTTTTCTGTTTATGTGGTACTGAGGAATTGAACCCAGAGCTTTATGCATGCTAGGCAAGCACTCTACCACTAAGACACATTCCCAGCCCCTATAGCTCTGTTATATTTAATTTTCCATGTTAATGTTCCACTGCTGTGATAAAATACCTAAGAAAACTAACTTAAAGGAGGAAAGCTTTACAGTTTCTAAAAAAATTATTACTTATTGTGCTCAGACCTTGAACTCAAGGTCTCAGCGTTGTCCCTTTACTTTTTTTTTAAATTTTTTTTATTTTTGCCGATTGTGGGGCCTGAACTCTAGGCCTGGGCGCTGTCCCTCAGCTCTTCAGCTCAAGGCTTAGCACTCTACCACTTGAGCCACAGCATTTTTCTGCTTATGTGGTGCTGAGGAATCGAACCCAGTGCCTCATGTATACAAGGCAAGCGCTCTACCACTGAGCCACCTTCCCAGCCCTCCCTTCACTTTTTTGTTTACAGTTATCTACAGCTCCATTTTTGGCTTTTTGGTGGTTAATTGCAGATTAGAGTTGTAGACTTCCTTCCTAGACTGAATTCAGATCTCATTCTACTGTGTAGCTAGGATTATAGGCATGAATTACCGGTTCCTGGGCTTATAATATATAGAATATATAAAATATTCAGGGCTGGGAATGTGGCTTAGTGGTAGAGTGCTTGTCTAGCATGTGTGAAGCTCAGGGTTCAATTCCTCTGTACCACATATACAGAAAAAGTCAGAAGTGGCACTGAGGCTCAAGTGGTAGAGTGCTAGCCTTGAGAAAAAGAAGCTCAGAGACCGTGCCCAGGCCCTGAGTTCAAGCTCGACGACTGGCAAAAAAAAAATAAAGATAAAAAAATTCAAGCTTAATATCTCGTGTGCTAGGCAAGAGACCTCCTGCTGTGCTACATCCTCACCTCTTATTCCTTTTTTTTTTTTTTGAAAAGTATTGTGGGTACAACTTTGATACGATGTGAAAATTTAACATGAGCTTATTGGTAAGGGACAACAGGTTGTGTGTGTGTGTGTGTGTGTGTGTGTGTGAGTATGAGTGTGTGTTTGTGTTTCCTTGGTCTTGAATGCAAGTCCTGGGTGCTATCCCTGTGCTTTCTTCCTCAAGGCTAGTGCTCTACTGCTTGAGCCACTGCTGCACTTCTGGCTTTTTGATGGTTAATTGGAGATAAGAATCTTACAGACGGGCTGGGAAGGTGGCTCAGTGGTAGAGAGCTTGCCTTGCATGCTCGAGGCCCTGGGTTTGATTCCTCAGCACCACATAAGCAAAATGAAAAAAGCTGGAAGTGGTGCTGTGGCTCAAGCGGTAGAGCGCTAGCCTTGAGCTGAAGAGCTGAGGGACAGCGCCCAGGCCCAGAGTTCAGGCCCCACGACCGGACCCAAAAAAAACAAAACAAAACAAACAAAAAGAATCTTACAGACTTTGCTGCCTGGGCTGGCTTTGAACTGTGATTCTCAGATTTCTGCCTGCTCAGTAGCTAGGATTACAGGTGTGAGCCATCAGTACCCAACTTCTTCTTCTTCTTTTTTTTTTTTTTGTGGGGGAGGGCTCTGAACTCAAGGCCTTATTATTCTCACCTGGATTTTCTGTTCAAGGTGATGCTCTAACATTTGAGCCACCACTCTACTTCCAGCTTTTTAGTGGTGAATTGGAGATAAGAATCATATATATTTTTCTGCCTGGGCTGTCTTTGGACCACAGTTTTCAGATCTCAGCCTCCTGAGTAGTTAGAAATATAAGTATGAGCCTAGTAGGGACAGCAAATCTTTTTTTTTTTTTTTTTTTGTGGTTTTGGGGTTTGAACACTGGACCTGGGCACTGTCCCTGAACTTCTTTTTGCTCAAGGAGAGTCCTCTACCACTTGAGCCAGAGTGCCACTTCTGGCCTTTTCTGTTTATATGGTACTGAGGAACCCAGGGCTTCATGCATGCTAGTCAAGCACTCTACCACTAAGTCACATTCCCAGCCCTGGGACAGGAGTTTTGATACCAGATTTTTTGGAATATTGCTTCTAGATTCCGCTTCATCACAGATGGGCTTTGGGGTTCTGGAACTCTCCCAGAGTCAGGATGTTGAGGAACAGACCGTCCCATATGAAATAGTCCAAGAGCATCTTGAGCCAATCACTACCAACGCTGGCCACATGCTGTCTGAAGTGGATGCAAATGATGGTATGAAACGTTTTCTTTTTTGTCAGTTGTGGGTTTTGAACCCAGGGCCTAGACCCTGTCCCTGAGCTCTTTTGGCTCAAGGTTACCACTTTGAGTCACAGTGCCACTTCCGGTTCTTATGCGGTTAACTTTGAAGAGTCTCACTTTTTCTTGTGGGCTGGCTTTGAACCTCGATTCTCTGATATCAGACTGTTGAGTAGCTAGGATTTCAGGCATGAGCCAGCAGTGGCTGGCTAAACATGTTTTCTTAAACTTGGAATTGGTTATAAGTTGGTTTCTTTCCCTCATAGAAGTAGTTGTTTTTTTTTGTTTTTTTTTGTTTTTTTGCCTACCCTAGGGCTTGAACTGAGGGCTGGGCACTGTTCCTGAGCCTCTATGTGCTCAAGGCTAGTGCTTTTACCACTTGAGCCACAGAACCACTTGTGGCTTTTTCTGAGTAGTTTTTTGGAGGTAAGAGTCTCATAGACTTTACTGCCAGGCTGGCTTCAAACTGTGATCCTCAGATCTCAGCTCCTGAGTAGCTAGGATTATAGATGTAGGCCACTGGCTCCTGGGTGAACTAGTTTGTTTCTTTGATAATTTTTGTAGGCATTCAAGTTATAGGTTAAGTAGATAAATTGGCCGGTAAATACTTGTTAATTGGTAAGTTATGGATTAAAGTTTTCTGTAAGGTTATTGGGCACTTTCCTCTTGAGAATTGCATCTGTAGTATTTTTTTGTCCCTCATGGGGCCTGAACTCAGGCCCTGGCCACTGTCCCTGAACTCCTTAGCTAAAGGCTATTACTCTATCACTTGAGCTACAGTGCTAACTTTCAGTTTTCTGGTAGTTAATTGAAGTTCAGATTCTTTCGGTCATCAGTGCCAGTGGCTCACGCCAGTAATCCTAGCTACTGAGGAGGCTGAGATCTGAGGATCGCAGTTCAGAGCCAGCCCGGGCAGGAAAGACTGAGACTCCTATCTCCAATAAACCACTAGGAAAGCAGAAGTGGCGCTGTGGCTCAAGTGGTAGAGCGTTTGCCTTGAGCTGAAGAGCTGAGAGTCAGCACCCAAGCCCAGAGTTCAAGCCCCATGACCGACAAAAAAAAAAAAAGATTCTTTCGGACTTTACTGCCTGGACTGTCTTTGAACCACGATCCTCAAATTTCAGCCTCCTGGCTAACTTGGATTATAGGCGTGAGCCAACAGCATCCGGTTTTATTTTATTTTGTTTATTTATTTTTGGCTCTGGTCGTGGGGCCGAACTCTGGGCCTGGGCACTGTCCCTCGGCTCTTCAGCTCAAGGCGAGTGCTCTACCACTTGAGCCACAGCACCACTTCAGGCTTTTTTCTTTTTGCTTATGTGGTGCTGAGGAATCAAACCCAGGGCCTCATGCATGGAAGGCAAGCGCTCTACTACTGAGCTACCTTCCCAGCCCCAGCATCTGGTTTTAAACCGATCTTATTTCTACTAAAACCTTTGCCTTTTAAGGCTCAGTGAGGACTGTTTCTAGTACTTTGAAAAGCTAAATATCTCCTTTTTGTCTTCTTTGGAAATTTCAAGCAGTTAAACTTGAAGAACAGTCTAGGGAAGAGATTGCCGTGTCAGAGCAGCCCAGCAAAGACATCCTTGTGATTCCACAGCCTAGTAAAAGTGTGTATGCGCTCGAAGAGCACGGTTCACCACCTGCCAGGTAAATCTGGTTCTTTCTAAAAAGTGTCTATATGTTTTGTTAAGGGTTTGTACTATTTTTTTTTTTTCTGGTTGTGGGGCTTGAACACTGGGCCTAGGCGCTGTCCCTCAGCTGTCTAGCTCAAGGCTAGACAGTGCTACTTCCGTTTTTTTCTGCTTATGTGGTATTGAGGAATTGGAACCAGGGCCTCATGCATGCGAGGCAAGCACTCTACCACTGAGCCACCTTCCTAACCTCTGTACTAGTTTTATTTTGCAAGGTGGAAACAGTTTTAGAAATCCCTTCCTCCCTTTGTATTTGGCATATTCCTGGTCCAATAGAAACTGTTGATCATTTATAAACAGTGGCTATTTATAGTATCATTGTATCCTCACTTTGTGACAAAGGTGATTTATTGCTACTGTAAGCATGACTTAAACTTTGGTTGTAACTCCTCTGAAATCTTTGGCTGAAGAGGCACTATTTCTCTTCAGGCATTCTTACACTGATGTTGTGAACATACATATATATATATTTTTTTTTTTTTGGATCCGGTTGTGGGTTTGAACTCTGGGCTGGGGTGCTGTCCCTGTGCTCTTCAGCTCAAGGTGAGCGTTCTACCTTGTGAGCCGGTTTTCTAGTGGTTAATTGGAGATAAGAGTCTCTAGACTTTTCTGCCCGGGCTGGCTTTGAACCGTGATCATCAGATCTTAGCCTCCTGAGTAGCTAGGATTACAGGTGTTAGCCATTGGTGTCTGACATGAATATTATATTTGAAAAACCAATTGTTTCTGTACTTGAGCATTTAGATTACTTAGAATTCTTGAGTTTTGTGTATCTGGTAGTTTATGATATAGGTAATGGTAGGGATTTCCCCGGATATTTTAAGCTCTCAACTTGGTGGGAATTGAGTAATAACTTTTGCTCTAATCTGTGGTGATTATTGTATCCAAACTACACTGCCTGTTGCCAGCAGCCCAACTTTGGATCTCAGAGAAAAACTGATACTTCCTATTTGAGGGATGAAAAAATAATCATTATTTTCTTAAAAACAAGTGGGGAGTGAGGTAAATGAACAAAGGTAAATGTCATTAACTGTTGTCCTTCTAAGCTGGGCGCCAGTGGCTCACATCTGTAATCCTAGCTACTCAGGAGGCTGAGATCTGAGGATCATGGTTCAAAGCTAGCCAGGCAGGAAGGTCTGTGAGACTATTATCTCCAATTAGCCACCAAAAAACTGGAAGTGGCGCTGTGGCTCAAGTGGTAGAGCAGTAGCCTTGAGCTGAAGAGCTGAGGGACAGCACTCCAGCCCAGAGTTCAAAAAAACGTTGTCCTTCTACTGTAAGATATTTAACAGTGGCTTGCTTTTATTTATTGATTTATTTTTTGGTTGGTCATGGGGCCTGAACTCTGGGCCTACGTGCTGTCCCTCAGCTTTTCAGCTCAAGGTTGGCGCTTTACCACTTGAGCCATAGCGCCACTTTCTGCTTTTTCTGCTTATGTGGTGCTGAGGAATCGAACCCAGGGCCTCATGCATGCAAGGCAAGTGCTCTACCACTGAGCCACCTTCCCAGCCCAGTGGTTCGCTTTTTGAAAAAGACTTTTCTTGAGGAAGTTCTCCTTCCAGTTAGCTTTGCAATCCTGTGTACCCTGGAGAGTGATAGAATAAGTGAGAATCTCCAGGAGTGGTTAGAAATGTGTGCTTTACACTGCAATTCAGCCACCTGAGCCACACCTCCAGTTCATCTCTTTTGCTGGTTAATTGATTTTTTTTTTTTTTTTTTTTTTTTTTTGGTCATGGGTCTTGAACTCTGAGCCTGGACGCTGTCTCTTAGGTCTTCAGCTTAAGACTACTGCTCTACCTCTTGAGCCACAGTGCCACTTCCAGTTTTTCTGGCGGTTAATTGGAGATAAGAGTCTCATGGACTTTCCTGCCTGGGCTGGCTTTGATCCTCAAATCTCCAGATCTCAACCTCCTGAGTAGCTAGGATTAGAGGCGTGAGTCACTAGCACCTGGCAGATTGAGTCTTTTGGGCTTTCTGTCCTGGCTGGGTTTGAACTGTAAACCTCAGATGTTCGCTTCTTCAGTAGCCAGGATTCCAAATATGAGTCTCTGATAACCAGTTTGCAATCCTTCCTGCAAGTCTGGATAACACTTTTTGTACCAAAAATTCTTAAATCACTCATCAGCAGTCTTGAAATGCATTCAGCAAAGCAGTGAGCAAAATTGAAGAGAAGTATGGCTCTCTGACAAACTGAGATAGGCTTTGAAATGCACTGAGGACTTTGTAGGATAACTTACTTTACTTTTAGTAGATATTCTGTACATTGTAGTTGCTAGGGTGTTTGAATGTATTAAAAATGCACAAAGGGGCTGGGAAGATGGCTCAGTGGTAAAGCGCTTGCCTTGCATGCCTGAGGCCCTGGGTTCGATTCCTCAGCACCACATAAACAAAAAAAAAGAAAAAGCTGGAGTGGTGCTGTGGCTCAAGTGGTAGAGCGCTAAAAAAAATGTACAAAATAGAAAAAGCTTTTTTGTTAAAAAATCAAAACCAGCTGGTGCCAGTGGTCCATGCTTGCAATCCTAGCTACTCAGCAGGCTGAGATCAGAGAATTGTGATTTGAAGCCAGACAGAGCAGGAAAGCCAGCCTGCAAGACTCTTATTTTCAATAACTACCAAGAATGTTGGAAGTGGAGCTCTGGTTCAAGTGGTAGAGCAGTAGCCTTGAGCAAAAAAGCTTAGGGACAGCTCCCAAGTCCTGAGTTCAAGTCCCAGGAGTAGCACGCGCACTCACACACACACACACACTGAGAGCATTTACACTTAGCCTTTTCTTTTCTCTTGGTTATACGAATTTTTTAGGCCAGAAGACATGCCTTCTAGTCCTCAAGTGTCCCTTGCTGCTATAGAAACAAAAGAACATACGTCTGCCCAAGAACTGCTGCCAAGTGGACTGCAGATTCGGAAGTCACCAGAGCCTGAGATTTTGTCAACTCAGGAAGACTTATTTGACCAGAGCAATAAAACAGGTATAAAGAATGATGAGTTGTTGTGGTTCTTCTTCCTCAAAGATCCTTCCTTGTTTTAACTCTAAGACTACTGCTTCAGTTGGGAATCACTTCAGAGATATGCACACTTATTTGTGATACGGAACGAAAGTGCTTTTCTAGCTGTTCATTGAGAAGGACTTTTGTGGAGTGATTGCTATTTAACATTTTAATGTAATTTCCTCTTGGAAATTGAAATGCTGAAGAATAGTAGCCAGTAAGGTAATTTGGCATTTGTATTATGGACAGGAGTAGCTGTTTCACCTGTTACCATGCATTCATGTATATTACTGTAGTCTTTTGGTGACACTGAGAATTAAACTCAGTGCCTTGTGTTTGCTAGGCAAGTCATCTGCCACTTGAACCCACATCTCTAGTTCTTTTTGCTTTAGTTCTTTTTCAGATAGAGTCCTACCTTTTACTTACGGCTGGGCTTGGACTGTTAATCTCCTTCCTGTGCCTCCTAGCTGGGATGACAGGATGTACTACTACACCTGGTTTATTTTGTTGAGATGGAATCTTGCCTGCCTACTTTTGTGGGATTATTTTAGCTGGGATTATTGGCATGAGCTACTACATCTAGTAGTCTTCAAATCTTAAATATGATAAATCTCAAGTGTTTTCATATATGCATGTATAGCAGTCTACTTACCTAATTAATTGGTTTACCACAATAAGGAGGTTGAGGTCTATCAGAAAGGGCAATATAATGTAGAATAAAATAGTATTTGTTGCACATTTTCTTAAGTTCTCTAGCTCTCCTATTCTGCAACTTCAGAGATCAAAGAAAGATTCAATCCAAACCAGTAAAATACAATGTGCTGATTAAGAAGAGGAGAAAGGCCGTATTTCTGTACTGTTGAATTATATAGGTTGCTCTGTAAGACATAAAAGAAACCTTTTTTTTTCTCACTAAAGCTATACGGTTGTATCTAAGAAATCTTTACTCTTAAGATGAAGATAGTTGATAACTGTTGCTAAAAAGGGAGCAGTAGGTAACTTCATAATGTAAGTAATGGCTGCTCCTGTGTTATTAGTGCATTAGTATTTTCTGTCTCCTTCTGAGGAGGCCCCAGTTCTGATTATGAAAATGACTGCATTCGTATCATCAGGTGGCATGCGCATTGTTTTGACTCCTCCCATCTGCACCATGGCATGAGCTTTACGTCACCTTAGGTAGACCTTGGAATAAAAGGCTCGCTTGCTGTTTTATAATAGAAGCATCACAAGAAAGAAGAGCAGCCAAGCAGAGGTATAAGGATTCTGTCTGGCTTTTCCTCTCCAAGTTTAGATTGTGACAGAAAGGTCTAGTGAACTTTTTTTTCATCAGTTCTTTATTAAAGAAACCCATACTTTTGGGGGGGTTAACATCCAGTGAAGAGTCCCATTATATCATTCCATTACTGTAGAATAATTAGAAAATAATTTCTGATCTTCTGAAATATGGTTGAAAATAAAGAGAATACTCTTTTTGCCATACTGTTTATCTTTTTGAGAAGCCAGTATTGTGAATACAAGAAGTAAATACAACCAGAATACCTCTTTATTTCCCTCCTTAGTAGCTTCTGATGGTTGCTCCACTCCTTCAAGAGAGGAAGCTGGATGTTCTCTGGCTTCCACACCTGCAACCACTCTGCACCTCCTGCAGCTCTCTGGTCAGAGGTCTTCCATTGTTCAGGAGAGCCTTTCCACGTAAGTAAGCCTCAAATAGCTCACGTGAAAGCGGCATGCCTGACTCTTTTAGGGACAGGTAGAGGTTAGAAGAGTTCAAGTTATCTGCTAGATTAGAAGGTTTTGATAAAGCCAAAAGGGTAGTATGTAGGCTCTACAACTTTGAGGGTTAGAATATAATGGAACTGGTAAAGGCTCATAGATGTATATTTTCATATTTGGTAATAGTCTTTTCAGTAGTTCCCAAGGTTTGAAGTAGGGAAGAAAATCCCAGGTTATTAGAAATGTTGAGCCGGGTGCTGGTGACTCACACCTATAACCCTAGCTACTCAGGAGGCTGAGATCTGAGAATCAAGTTCAAAGCCAGCCTGGGCAGGAAGGTCCATGAGATTCTTACCTCCCGTTAACCACCAGAAAACTGGAAGTGCCATTGTGGTTCAAGTGGTAGAGCCTAGCCTTGAGCAAAAAAGCTCAGGGACAGTGTCCAGGCCTTGAGTTCAAGCTCCACAATCCACCAAAAAAAAAAAAGGAAATATACATCAACAAGCATTTTACTGAGTATAATCCTAGCTATTCAGAAGGCTGAGATCTGAGGATCACAGTTTAAAACTAGTCCAGGAAAGTCCGTGAGAATCTTACCTCTAATTAAGCACCAAAAAAGCCAGAAGTGGAAGTATGGCTCAAGTAGAGTGCTAGCCTTGAGATAACAAGCTCAGGGTTAGCACCCAGGCCCTGAGTTCATGTTCTAGGACTAGCAAATGGGTGGACTGATAAGCCCATGCACGCACACATACACACATACCAATACCAACCTCCCTCCCCCCAAGCATTCTGCATTTCCATTTCACTAGTGTTTCTTTCTATTCAGTGGTATTGGATGGAGAACATAGATTGCTATAGTGGACTGTAGTTGGGTTTCTTTAATGCTGTCAGAGCAAAGAGGTTTGCCTCTGTAAAAATGTGCATGATTTTCCCATTATGCAAAAACAGAAGTAAATTTTTTTTTATGTCTTAAATCTGCAAATCAGTTTATTTTCTAGCACTTCTCATTCTAATCAGTCATGATGTCCTATGTCTAGTCATTCACTTTTCCCTTACTTTTTAAAAAAGAAATTCCTATTTTAGTAATGTCTGGTGTGGGAACTACTTAGTGATTCTTCTGCCAGTCTCAGATTGCTGTTTGGGAGAAACACTTTTAAGTATTTATCTGAAAGACTTAAATATTTTTTGCTATTAAAAGTAAAAGCATAAATAGAAGCTAGCTGTGGTAAAATAACTTGTGGTTCTCTCTTCATGTGAAGGAATTCATCAGATCTTGTTGCTCCTTCCCCCGATGTTTTCCGACCTACCCCTTTGATCGTTCCTAGCAGTCCTACAGAGCAAGAAGGGAGAAAAGGTGAGCTCTTTTAATATGTCTGGTGATCTCAGATTCAAAGGGGAGCAGGGTTTCTTCTGCCTTGCAAATGTCTTATTTCTTTGTGCTTGGGAACACAGCCTTACATTGTTTGTTAGGACACAGATCTGCATCCTTCAGGGATATGGCCTAGTGTAAAGTACTCTCCTCAGGTCTATACTCTAGCATGGGTTCTTTTGAAAGTTTTGTACTGTTAACCTAGTTTTTACAAAGACTTTTAAGGGAAATCTTTGATTATTATTATTATTTTGGTGGTACTGTGACTTGAAATCAGGACTTCATGCTTGCTAGGCAGGTGCTGTATTATTTGAGCCACACCACTAGTCCCATTTTTTTTTTTGTTATTGTTGCTTGTGGGGCTTGAACTCTGGGCCTGGGCGCTGTCCCTCAGCTCTTCAGCTCAAGGCTACTGCTTTATCACTTGAGCCACAGCACCATTTCAGGTTTTCTGGTGGTTTATTGGAGATAGGAGTCTCACGAAATTTGCTGCATGGGCTGGCTTTGAACTGCGATCCTCAGATCTCAGTCTCCTGAGTAGCTAGGATTACAGGCGTGAGTCACCAGCACCTGGCTCTAGCCCCTAGTATGGAGAAGAAATGGATTTGTTACTAATGGCCTAGTGTTTACTAGTAACATGCTAGCATGTTTCTGGTGAGAGAACCAACTTTGTGTGTGTGTGTATTGGTACTGGAACTTGGTGCTCTTTCTGAGCTTTTGGTAGTTAACTGGAGATAGTCCCATGGACGTTTGTGCTTGCTGACTTTGAATCACAATCTTCAGATTTCACCTTCCTGAGTAGCTAGGATTATAGCTGTGAGACACTGGCACTTGCTTTTTTTTTAAAAATTTTTATTATCTTTAAGTAATTGCACCAAGGGGTTATAATTAAACACTCAGCATTGTTGTTTTGTTTTCTTTATGGGTCATGTGTTTATCAAAAGAGTTAATGGCTACTGAGTGGCTAGGAGCAGGTGGCAGAAAATTTACTCACTTTTTTTCCTTAAGCACTTAGTGATTATTCATAATAAACTGCTTTACACTTATGTAACATATCTTAATATCTTTTGATGTGACCTACTCTCCTATCTAAACAACATATATTTCTAAGTTCTTCTTTTTTTTTTGGGGTGGGTCCGGTCGTGGGGCCTGAACTGTGGGCCTGGGCGCTGTCCCTCAGCTCTTCACCTCAAGACTACCGCTCTAAAACTTGAGCCACAGCGCCACTTCTGGCTTTTTTCTTTTTGCTTATGTGGTGCTGAGGAATCGAACCCAGGGCCTCATGCATGCAAGGCAAGCG